AGATGTCTTTCAGCGAACACATATGGGGCCATTCCGATGACCTGCTCTCCTTATGCCATGCTTTCACGCCAGATACCTGTAAGACGGACAAGTTGGGATTGCTGCTAAACGTAAGCGAAAATAAACAAGAGTAAAACATTAAAGAAAAGAAGTTGCCGGCTTTTGTCACGGCAGTCGCTTTTATCTTCTGCTTCAGGCCAACAATTCTCTCGTGGGACCCTACGTGGTGGACAGCGGTCTGAATGAAAAGTCCTATATTGGTCAGGTTCTGTCGTTTAAAAATCATAGGTACGCAGTTGGCAGCGCATTTTGTATGATCAAACATTTTGTTTCGTGACTGTGACCAAGAAGATTGAGATGGTTGTGGAGCCCGCTCAATTCATATGCCCATGAAATCTGAGACCATTTTTTTCTCACCGGAATTTGGCTACAGGACGGCGTTTCTATAAACTCCCATGTAGAGATATGATATGTCATATTTGACAAACGGACGTTTTTGGTTGTTTCTCGTCAAACCTGATAAGTTGCACGAGTGCAGGAAAACCGATGATCATTAAACGGATAGTCGTCATGGTGAAAGGGTTATGAAACTTCAAGCATCTGAGGACCAGAAGTATTTACAGCTCTGTCCCGTTAGGGACCTGAAAAGTGCGGAGCACGGGAGAGTGATATGCCATTAAGGAATGATTTTGTTTCATCACTATTACGCGACTTGTTAGGATGCAGACACGAGTGCATAGGGCTTGGCTTGGGCCAGGGAAGCTTGAGAGCTTGAACTAAAGTCTGATAACAGTAAAAGATTTGGTTGCTTAACCGTATGGTCACCACCTCTGCTGTCGCATGTCTCTACTGACGCAAGGACTTAAAGTGCCCTGCGGCTAATTTAGGGATGATGGGAAATCTTTTTTAACGTTTATCACGAGGCCACTGCGAACCAAATGAACCAAAATTCTACTAGAAATAGGCTTCTCTGGATTTTTATCTATCTTGGTATGGTGGTGTCTTCATAGATGCCTTGCCTCTCGGTCACTTTGACATTTCTCATTAGTAACCAAAGTTAAAATCCGATTTTTGCGTTATAGCATCTGATTTATCAGTTGTCACGTATTTTTCCATTTTAGTTCGTTCAACATTTGGTCTTCCGCTGAAGCCAACTTAATTCAAGGAACAGGTAAACCCGACAGGCATTTATAAATTTCCCTTGCTGTAGCTTCTGTACAATTTGTTCGTACCTATAAGTGGGAGTGAGAACACATGTAATGAAAGGAGCGAGTATCTAGGATAATTTTAATCTCCATCTGGATAACTCGTCAAAACTACCTAAGATCTCTCTTGGCTTTAAATTACATTTCTGTGCATATATTTATTTGGAACGTAAAATGTTTCCTAAGATTTTAATAACCTGGGTGGCAACCAATAGTTTTATAGTAGTAAATATTAAGTAATGTTTTACGAGTGTTTTTTTCACATTTAGGAAATAAAATATGGTTCTGTCTTTCAGTAGTCCGTTTATAAGGAGCATAAAACTATGGATGCGCGAATCAATTCGGATTACATGTTAGTCGCTTTAAGCAGTAACCTGTTTTCCCTTTTCTGAGGACAAGAAAAAAGTGTCTCGGTCACTTGAACAATTGGCAAATTAAACTATTCAAGTTTGCTAAATCATCCAGTTATTTCCCGAAACGAACACGACAATCAACTGGCCATGTTCCATTTATCATTTGCGTCTGAAGATCTGAAAAGATGAAGACTGAAAGAGTGTGCCCTTGTCTGTTGATTACTGCGCTATCTTGGTCAACAAGTGAAAATCTTTGCGAGTTTAGGAATGATCTTCCATTAAAACTGAATTTTCCCATTTAAATTACCAAAACATCGAAAATGAATGCTAGTTTGGGTCTAAGTCGCAGCTTCAAGTATTCAAAGGCACATGATTATGTCTACGAGAATTTCACAACTTCAGTTCTCCAGCAGAGCATAAAAAGACTTGATTTACAAAATTGTGCTGGAATTAGTTTCCCACAAAATTAATCAAGTCAGACAGTGCAGCTTGTTAAAATAAGATCAAAAAGACACATATTTTGGTTCTCATGCAGCAGTTGATTAACCTGAGTGTAATTGAAGATGCCCGCTTAAAGATCAGTAGCATGTCCTCGACTTTATAACTTCCAATAAAACTACCCACTGGCAAAATTCCTAAAACGGAAAAAGCTACGTTTATACACTATATTTTCTCCTTCAGATGGAACTCGATTCGCCCCTGATGTCCACCTTAACAGCACCTTCAACATCTTTGTTCCAACTCTTTGCCGATCACTGCTAATGGAGTCATTCAGGGAAACAAGACCATCCAATTTTAAACATCTGCGGGTTCGATTGCTTGCTTTTTTTTCTATGCGTTGCACTTAGCATTTCCTTTGCCAGATTTAGAAGCCGCTGTTGCTGCTGTATTTATATGCTCCATAGCACTGATGCTGCCCTTTTTAATTGTGAACTAGTCACGCGGCCTTAGCCCTCTTACGGAGACGGCATAATAGTGTCTTTCTATAGATAATCGGTCGCTTTATTTTATTCGTCTTTCCTTAAGTTGGTCCAAAGTGTCAGTCTCTTCATTTCATTATCAAAATGGGACATCAAGATCGAATAATAGGCAATTACTCGAAAGTAGTTTTACTTTTACTATGTTACGCCTATAAAAACTTTTGGAAACATTGAATAGAGTCTTGAGGTATCCCTACAAGAGCAGGCACTCGTTAGAGATTTCAGACTTAGGCGACAGGGTTTTAATTACCTTCT